ACTGGCGAAATTTTTTGAGCAAGCACTGCACTTTAGGGAGTAAAGTATATGTTAGGGTGTGTTTGTTATGAAAATATTCGATCCCTACTCAAAATCTGACGCAACGTTAACCCAACTTTACAATCGGTTATCCTCAATATTATCAATACAACTAATCATACCATTTTTTTTACAAAAAAAAAAATTAGTCGTCGTTAACCAAAAAACTCGTTTTGAATTTAAAATTCTTCAAAAGGTGATTGTTCATCTAAAATTGATTTAAAAAACAAAAAGATAACCATTTTGCTAATGACGCTGGAGCATTGGACCACACGTAATGATGCAACCAACGAATTCAATGCCTAGAAATAGGAGTAAAATTGCATACCTAGTTAAATAGTTAATTGTACTTGTTTGATATACCTAATAATGTGAACCAATTTATTATTATTACTAAAACATCACCCATTTAATTTAATAATTATGTATATTGAAGTTATATGATTTCCATTGAAGAAGTAACACACAACAAATTTTCTATATTGATATATTGGACATGCAAACCGCATAACACTTTGGTCGTACTAATAGGTGCATCCGTGCATGCACCACCAACCATAGTGTAAATAGGGTTTTTATATACGTAAATTGCGTTATATATTTACAACTACATCTCAGTTTGATCTGTGAAAGCTTTAGCTTAATTTATTTGTATAATCAAAGAACTGAGTTGAAACAACTACTTGATTTTATTTTATTTTTTAATTGAATAAGTTGAATTGTGTTAAATATTAAACACTCGTTGTGAATAAATGAAGATTTTATGATTAATTGACTAAATAAAAAAATAAAATTCATTTGGGGTCAAACAAATCAGGTCAATCTCAGTTGATTTCGATATATTTGTTTTCAAACGTGTGAGAGCCGTACCAAATTGAACTTGAAGCATCCAAAATCGAGCTCGCAATTCTAGTTTTATTTTAAATGAATCGAGTCGTAACTACTCATTTATTGAATGAACACGAGCTCACATACGAGATTTGTGAGAAAAAATTGACTTACATCTTCTTAATTCTTTTGTTATTATTATTATTATTATTATTTGAAATGTGACACAAATTGGGAAGCCTTATTTACAACTGGTCAGCAACTAGCAAAGTACTTTGAATTTGATATTGGACCTTTTGACTTTATCATAAGTTGAAGTTGTTTGAAGATTGAGAATTGTTATAATATGTTTGAATGTGTTAGTGTATGAAGATTGTAAATTACTAATTGATTATCGATTATGTATGTATGTTAAATTCGAGA